TGCTGATGAGAAGAGGCATGATGTAAAGAAAGTACTACATAATGTACTACTGAGGAGAAGACTACAGTCAAATATTTTAAGTGAATCAGAAATAGTCGTTATCAAAACTTTTCATATCTGTATTAAAATCTTTTAAGTTGGGTCAGCTGCTTTCTAGATAAGTTTCTAGTGCAAGAATTCTGCGTGTGTGTGTTAAAGTAACTTTCTCTTTACTAAAATGACACAGCCTTAAGTTTTTCAAATTAAAGAGCCAAATGGCATGATTAGATTTTCTGTGTTTCTCGCTGGAAACGTCATGCTCATTAAGCTCAGAAGGTGGAGATACGGTGAAGCATGATGGGGAAGGTCAGCACCCCAGAGATTAAGGTTGAAATTCAAAATGTTAAACTGGAAGAGATAGAATCGAACAAGTGCGAGTGGTACTAGTGAGAACTGTGCATTTACCCAGGAAGACCTCTGCACACCGTGCAAAAGGATTTGGAGAAACATAAGCCAAGGCTGAGAAAGAATTACTTGACGGAGGTATTTAAAAAGAAATTATGGAAATTACTAGTGACCCATTAATATATGCCAATATTACAACTTTCTGGTAATCACAAGGCAATTGAAATAACAATGAACATGAACTACAATGTTCTGCTTATCAAGTTTTCAAAGTTTAAACATCAAGAATAGTGTCTGAAAGCATTTAGGAAAGTAGGATATCTAATATAACTCTGGTGGGGGTGTGAATTTGCACAACTTTTAGAAGAGCAATTTTTTCAAAATACATTAAAAAACGATGAACATTCAACACCTACAATCATTTTTTAAAGAATCAGATATGTTAAAAATTTAAAAACAAGGATGTGTTCAGTACTGCTGTACTGATAATTAATGTCAAACACAATCTACATGACTCACCACTGAAGAGACAACTTACATAAATCACAAAACAAAGAAATCTGTTGTAGCCATTAATCACATTTTAGACAGGTATGCAACAGAGTAGAAAAATGTGCTGTATATATGAAGGGGAAAAGAGGTGGCAAAAATACACGATGCCAATTTTCTTAACATGTGTGTATGTTTGCATGTGTACATACTATAAATGAAGTCGGATACAAGTCATTGATTGTTATCTCTCTGTAGTAGATTTAACTGGTGACTTAAATGTTCTTTGGGTTTCCTGTTATTTTATAAATTACTCTGAATTACAATGCTCTGTGTGTTTCTAATCATATTTATACACTCATATATCTGAAATGAATAGCCAAAGTCAATCAATGTATGTAGACCTGTTTTTCATGTCTGTACCTGCAGAGATTGAATCCGCTGATCTTTGTGGTTCTTTCGGTTTCTAAAGTTTCACAAATACATTTTATGAAAAACAGAAAGTGATTCAGAAACAGAAGTATACACAGGCATGCACAAGTCTTATGAAGAGATAAAAACATAACACAAATTTATAATCAGAAAGAATTAGCGTTCCAGAGGACTTTGTCAAATGTTTCTTAGTGGAAATCCTCTGTGGTTCCATGCTGATGGGCAGCTGAGCTGGGCACTGCCTGATATCTGAGTCAGTATCATTGTCTTTTAAAGTGATGGTGTTGATGATGATGATAAAAATAATAGCTGTAAGTAGAAGTGTAGTGCTTACCCTGTGCCAGGTACTGCATGCTATACACACATTGTATTTTACGTACCAAAACAATCATTTTGTATATAAAGGAAAGGCTTAATTTCACCATAGACCTTTTTCTTTTTCTTTCTTTCTATCTTTCTTTCTTTCTCTCTCTCTTTTTTTCTTTTTGTTGGAGCAAAGGAATTTCACTCGTAACCTCAGAACTATTTATCAATTTACTAACAATGTCTGAATTCCCTTTGATATTTAAACTAACAGATCACCTGATATTTTTGAAAGAAAAAAGTTGCTTTAATTAATTATGCTTAAAAGTTACATCAAAATCATTTACTATTTGGAGGTCTTTTAAAACTGAAGAACAAGTGCTTGCTGTTGTCAGTTTTATGAGCAACTAATGGGAAGAAATTTTGATACTAAATAAATTAAATCTGCCTTACAGTTTTTTTAATGCTGTATCAAACCTTCACCAAATCTGATAAGAATGGTATAGCAATGGTGGTACCACTGGGGAAAATTATTCTCAAGGCTGTAGCTTGCATTTCTATGTTCCCATGGCTAGATTAAGCCAAAGGTTTATATAACCTACTTAACCAAAATGATTAAAAGAACAGAAAATTGATCTTATGAGAGCAAGGTCCTATGTAATGTACCTTGGAATACAGAAGAAATGAAACCACCCATTATTTAGGATAATAATCAGTTGTTCCCTAAATTCACAGAGGAAAAAAAGGGTGAGGGGTAACAAAGATAAGGGATTTAAATTCCCTAAAGGCCAACTCCTAATAGTCAAGAGTGTTAAATTTGGGAACAGAATTTTTTTGAAAAAGATTTAAATATTTATCTAAATTCTGACTGCATGAGTAGTAACATACAGATCTCTAGGAATCATCTTATTTCTCAGGAAAAAAAAATACTAGTGTGACTTTCATTATGCTAATCTTGGGTTATCCTAATCTCTGGCATAAGTATATATGCACTTTTTTTGGTTTTTGCTGAGATTACAATGCAACTATACTTCTCTTATATAGAATAAACTCATGTAACATATACTGTTATACTTTGTAACATGGGAACAGATTTTTAAAGGATTAAGAGTTTCTGTTCTCCAAAATATTTTTAAGAGAACACATCAATTCCAATTTTCTTGCTCAAATATGGTCCCATCTAACGGCAGTGATGGGAATTAGAGACCCAGATCTTTCATTCCTTCTTGCTAATTTTCTCAGGATGGGATAGTAAGGTTCAACAGGAAATATGGCTGCCATTCTAGGATGCAGCCTGCCTCAGAACATTTTTTAGAATGCTGAGTACTAAACTTTAGACACAGTCTGGTCTCTAAATTCATATGAATTTTACCAATTTATTCAATGAGATTTATATTTGAATTTGGAAGACAGCTCCCCCTAAATCACAAGTTATCCCTTTACAGTATAACAAGAGGTATAAAATTGCATTTTGAGACTCTGATATCTCAAGTACAATTTTAACATGGGCAATATGCCAACAAAATATTCACATATTAAAATGTATTTATTTAAAAAATTATTTTGTACTTTGGTGGGTCTTTTTCTCTAAACAATAATATAGCAGAACAGCAGTATGGACGAAAAGGCCCTCTGAGTAAGATGCAAATATAATTCTTTCAGAGATGAAATGAATCAACAAATAAACGAAAAAGAGTGTTTCCTTTTACTTGTGCAATAATTGACTCAAGTCACGCTTGATTTAACACCTCTGAAAGAAAGAATGTGAGAACACTCCTCCTTAGACAGAAGCCAACTTTGGTTCTCCCAGGGCTCAGCCTCTTATTTAAGAGCTCTGTCAGGATGCTTTTATGTTGCCTACACATACTAATATATCCTTGCTTTGTTCACAGAACAATTTAGTTTCTCGAAAATCTGCCTTGATTTAACAATTCCCTTGAATATTGCCTCCCAGGCTTGTTAGTTGAAATTCTCAGCTAACAAGGAGGGAGAAACCCCACAGAGGGTACGAGTTCTTCACCAAGCAGAACTGTCATGTATGAATGCCATTCTAAAGTAAAGTTGTAAGATACCCTTATAATGTTTCAAGCCAATCCATTGCTCTAAAAAGTCTAGTTTCCACTCCATTTACTTTCTGTATTTGAGAGATGACATAATTAAGTAGAATCACCTCGAGTCATGACCAAACAGCATATGCATGTGATAAATTGTCTACCACTATGAGGAAATAAAAGAAGGAAAAGAACTTTGAACAAAAGGGAAATAAATGATCTTATCTTGATATATCTTATTATCACCCCCTGCTTTAAATAAGCACATCTAGCTCACAAATACTCCTGATACTAGCTAACACACCAAAGTCTCCCTTAGGACAGTTCATGAAGTACAGGAGCTTTAAAAACCAGAAGCTTCCAAAGGATGGCTACTTACGTGGGTGGTCAGAACTCTTGCAAAACGTAGTTAACATTTTGAATTTTTAATACCATGAGCAGTTGCCCAAAGTAACACTTTAGACATTTTTCTTCTACAAAATGTGAACTAAGCTAGAGAAGTGAATATAACTCAAACAAAGAAAATATATGTCTTCTCTGGTAGGTATAGCTCCACTCACATTTTATTGACCTAAATTTATACTTTTTCCTTCATCTTCCTTTAGACTCTCAAACAGTTTTACACAAACTTTTTTTTTTTTATTTTTTTGAGTTGGAGTCTCACTCTGTCGCCCAGACTGGAGTGCAGTGGCCTTTCCCGGCCACCGCAGCCTCGACCTGCTGGGCTCCGGTCATCCTTCTGCCTCAGCCTTCCAAGTAGCCGGAATTACAGACACGCTACCACGCCCGGCTGATTTTTTGATTTATTGTAGAGACGAGGTCTCGCCAAGTTGCCCAGGCGGGTCTCGAACCCGTGGGCTCAGGCAATCCACTCAGCCTCCCAAAGGCGTGGGATTACAGTCTGAGCCACAGAGCCCGGCTTACACAAACATTTTAAACATAAAAACAGTGCAGAGTTGCTTTTTCACTCATCAACAGACTTAAACAAACATAGAAAGTCATAGGCCCATCGATAAAATAAACTGTTCGTGTTTTAAGTTTTTATTATTAATAACAGATCTATATCTGCTCAACCAAGCAAACTGTCCAAAAGAGTCCAAAACTGAACATTCTTGGTTTGGCTATTTAATTTCTCTTTACCTAAGTTACTGGTTCAAAAGTAAAGAAGACAGTCCAATAGGAGTTATAAACCAAACAAAAGAATTGACAAGCAGTAATTAGTTAATTGATTAGCTAAGTTACTTTATTTATTTTTTTCAGTTACAACTGCCTGAGTTCCCTCTCCTTTAAATTCACCCCCAGAGGAGGTACACACTTTGCCATTACCCTTTTTCTACATACTGGGAATTTGCTGGATCCTGTGGACAACGACAAATGCATCAGACAGTCCCACTTTCACCGGATGATTGGTCGAGCTTATCTGTGTGACCAAGACAGGGATCTGGAAAAGAAAAAACAAATTACTATGCCTTACATCTGAATTTCATGCATGAGTGTGGAGGAGAGGGATCCTCTTGTTTCACAGGTAAAACAACGCTAAGGAAATGAAAGACGAGAGGGAGAGCAGGAAATGTCGGAGAAGAAAAGTATACAATCCCCAAAAGTAACATCATTTTGGCACTGTTCAATGAATAAAAGAGACGAGAGCATTCCTAATCCCATGGTTGGCTACTAGACACTGAAATAAATAGATTCCCAGAGAATTTAATTGATGCTGGAAACTTTTGCAAACTTATCACACAGATAGACACACCATGAATGTTTTTAGTGTTAGCTTTAATTTCAAGAATAGACCTTCTCTCATTCCTTCTTTATTAAAAAAAACTTTATATATGTGTGTTTTCATAAAGTTTTAAAAAACTTTGCTTTTTTAAACAAAGTTTGTTGTTATTGATACACAACCTAGAGAAAAGAAAATAAATGCATTGCTAAATATATATTTAATAATATCATTGATGATTAATATCTAGTTACATTTTGCAATCACCATTCTAGTTGAAATTCCAATGGAAAACTTCTAAGCTCTTATGAGTCATTTCAAGGTCACAGATCCTAAATCTGAATCTCAATGAAATCAAAATATGAATATGACATTTCTAATAATAACAGTTAAAAAAATTAGGACACAATGAGGACATAGGAAAAATGATTCAACAGTTACATGAGATGAACTCTCGAAGTCTTCTTTTCTAGATTTAGAAGAATTAATTGAAGATATGATTACTCTCTTTATTATTAGTTTTACAGAAATAAAAATGAGAATGAAACCATCTTCAATAAAAACAATGACAAGAGAGAAAAATGCACCAAAAAAACTTTAGGTAGAATAAGCAGATTTTAGGCCATCTGTGGGTAATTCATTAAGTAACAATTAGATCAGATTTTGCTGTATAAACTGTAACAAACAGCCTAGAATATGAAAGAAGGGAAATAAATCGAAGAGAAGATCTAATAAAGGCTTTCTCACTTATTTTTGACCATGACATCATGAAATTGTAAAATGGCTATTTTACTGAAATTGACATATTAAAAAGAAATTTTACTGGCTTTTGAATTTGTAGAATTACCTTGAAACAAGTACATGGAAGATAACACTTTTCTCCCTTTATACAATTTTAGTCTTCTTTAAAACAATGTTACAGTGTTTGCAAATTTTATATCAGTATGCCCAACTCTTAACCAATATAAAGAAGTATTCTGATATTTGGATGGCAGAAACATACAAAACAAGCAAAACAAAACAGATTTCTGTTCCTGACAGCTCATTTACAAAATGAAAGTTGGATATACTTTATTTAGTGGTTTACTAAGCCAAATTCAGAATCGAAATGTGAAATCCCCTTTCTTAATGGGTATTGTGCTATTACCCAGTCTTATTCTCCATGTTGAAGAGTGATATTAGAAATATAATTAGTATTTAAGAAAGACTAAAGAAGAAAAGACAGAAGGATGGAAAAGCATAGGAAAATATCTCAATTCAAGTCAGTTTTGTCTGGTCTAATAAGACACCATGTATATATAACTTTTCAGCAGTATTATTAAAGGATGCCTGCTTAGAAGCAAGTATGAAAACTTTATTAGTCTGTTATCACTTGCTCTCATTCTCCAACATTTATAAGTTCAGTTTTCCTCTGGAAGTTGCAAAATGCTCTACCAGATAATTCTGTGGTAATTAATTGCATTTCTTTTCTCTTCATACTTGCAGCAAAACTTGAGTTCATATTGCTATCGATGGGAAAATCCTAATATGTTGTTATGAACACTGCATGTTTATTCCAGAGCTTGTTTTCCAGGTCAAGTGTCTTGGTTCCTGTACCCTCCCAGAAGCATTTTCTTCTCTTCAGATTACACTTGGCACCTATACTATCCCTTAGAAGATGATATCTAGCCATCCTTCATTGTCATTTTTTGTCTCCATGTCTTTCCTCTTCTCTCCTCTCTTCTCCTCCCTTCCCCTCCCCTCCCCTCCCCTCCCTTCCTCCCTTCCTTCCTTCCTTCCTTCCAGTTGGAGTCTCACTCTGTTGCCCAGGCTGGAGTACAGTGGCATGCCGCCAACCTGCTGGGCTCAGGCGATCCTTCTGCCTCAACCTTCCAAGTTGGAGCTACAGGCATGTGCCACCACACTGGCTAATTTTTCTTAATTTATTGTAGAGATGTGGTCTCGCCAAGTTGCCCAGGCTGGTCTTGAACCTGTGGGCTCAGGCAATCCTCTCACTTCAGCCGCCCAAAGTGCTGGTATTATAGGCGTGAGCCACCGCGCCCGTCCTCTTTCCTTCTTTTCAATCCTTTATGTTTGTCTATATGCCTAAACCCTCTCCTCCAGTGCTTTTTATTGGTGGTGGGTTGATTTTACTAATGGTTTCAATCAATGGCCTCCTTGTGCCCAGACCCTCTGCAGTCAATCTCCACTGTGACTCCAGGTTGGGCAATAGGGCAAGAGAGGAGGACAGCAGCAAACTTGAAGCAAAAAAAAGGTATTTACGTCCAGGCACAGTGGCTTAGCCTGTAATCCCAGCACTTTGGGAGGCTGAGGGAAGAGGACTACCTGAGCCCGGGGAATCGAAACCAGCCTGGGCAACTTGGTGAGACCTTGTCTCTACCATAAATCACAAAAAGCTAGCCAGGCGTGGTGGCATGTGTCTGTGGTTCCAGGTACTGGGAAGGCTGAGGCAGAAGGATCGCCTAAGCCCAGCAGGTCGAGGCAGCGGTAGCCGTGAACGTGCCACTACTCTCCAGCCTAGGCAACAAGAGTAAGACTCTAACTTGGGAAAAAAAAAATGAAAAAGAAAAAGTACTTACTATTTCCTTTCTTGGACCCCTGCTACAGTCAAGAAAATGTACCCTGATGGTCTGCTAAAGATATATGAAAGACATACTGAGGCTTTCTTTTCTCCCCCAGCAAAAGATATCTTTGACCAGCCAGCCCTCAGCAAGTACACCAGATGACAGCTGACACATGAATGGGCTTAGGTGAGATCAACAGGGCCCAACCCAGATCAGTAGAACCACAACACTGATCCATAGGTATCTCGTGAGACATAAGAAAGGGAATTTTTTAAACCATTATATTTTGTGATAGTTTTATACAGCAATAGCAACTGATATATTTTCTGTTAAAGATCGAATAGCTAATAAACTTCTATGAATGTTTTCTTATCAAAATGAAATAGCATTCTTCATCCTAGTTTTCTGAGAATCAAATAAATGTCTAATTTTAGGTACAATTAAACTTGAAAGATTGGAATGATCCAGTGGGAACTTTTTTTCCTGCATTTTAAAAATTCTTTTATACCACTTTAGTCTCTAGTGTATTCTTTGGACTGTACATGTTAGAAACTAAGACAAATGTATATAAGTTATCTAGAGATAGATTCATTTAACATAAGGAAAATCAATACAAAACCAAATGGGTAGCCTCATGGTAGGCAGAGTTTTCTATCACTGAAAATTATGCAATAGTAAATTAACCAATTGTCAAGAAAGACCTTCGTAGATGACCTTTAAGGATCCTTTGAATTCTCAAATTATTTCTTTTTATTGAATGATTCTCACTTTTCCAAGCTTCAGTGAGTAAATTGTTAAAAATGATCCCAGCAAAACTTACATGGGTGAATACTCTATATAGGCGAAATCATCACTGCATCAAGAGTTACATTTTAACTTGCTGTCAGTTGTTAAAATTTACATATTCATGGGACAGTGACTTCTAGTACTGTATTTGACAAACCACTACTACTATAAATATCTCTACTATGAATCTTAATGCAATTTGGGAGCATAGAGTAGAAAATAAATTTCTAAGAATCATGTTTACTACATGTAAATTATTTCCCCCCAAAGGTATATACATTGTCCTTGCTCTTTGATAAGATGAGATAGAAAGAAATCACTGTTTCATCCATCAGATATTGACTGAACATATTCTCTGTGTTGTTGTAAGCTCTGGAATTACAGCAGAGACCAAAACAAAGATCCCATTCTCAGACTGCCTACATTCTAGATGGTGGAGGCAGACATAAATATTAGTGAAGATTTTAATCCTGAGCTTTGGGAGGCTGAGGTGAGTGGATTGCCTGAGCCCGCGGGTTCGACTGGGCAACTTGGCAAGACCTCATCTCTACAATAAATCAAAAAATCAGCAGGGCATGGTAGTGCATCCCTGTAATTCTGGCTACTTGGAAGGCTAAGGCGGAAGGATCGCTGGAGCGGCCACTGTACTCCAGTCTGGGCGACAGAGTGAGACTCCAACTAAAAAAAATAAAAATATATAAAATATAAAAATATATATATGTATATCTATAAATATATATAAAATACTAGACAGTAGTTAGTGCTAAGGAGAAACCTAAAACAAAGTAAAGAGATGGAGAGAAATGGGGTTCTGTCTCAGAGAGGAGAGTTACAGAAGTTATCTCTGACAAGATGACATTTTAGCAGAAACATGAAAGAAATAAGGGAGCCTGCCATGTGGATATTTGGGGAACAGCTCTGAGTAGAGGGACTAGTAAATGCAGAAGGCTTTCATGAATTGCTTTTGGTGTGTTTTAGGAGTTAAAAGTTTATTTCTGTGGCTGGAGCAGAAGTAGGAAATGAGAGTGTTAACGGTGATGGGAGGTGACAAGGGCAGATCACAGGAAGTGAATATTACTCGTAAGATATGGAAGTGACATTGGATTTTATTCCGGTAGGTACAGAAAAATTTGGGAGGTTTTGAGGGAAGGACACTCCTTTACATTTGAAAAAGATCACAATGTCTGATGTATGATCAAAACTGTAGGGAGCCAAGGGAGACAGTGAAACTAGTTAAGAGGGTATCATAGTTTTAAGAAGTAAAAGAAGGTGTCATGGATGACACCAGAGTAGTGGAGGTGATGAAAGTGACAAAGGATAAATTCCAGATGAATTGTTTAAGCACTGCTTTGGAGACACCCTCCCAATTTA